CTCTTTAAGGGAATTTTTTATTTCTTCTTTAAGGGAATGTTTTATTTCTTCTTTAAGGGCCTCTATCATCTTCTTAAAGTCGTTTTTAGGGTTGATTTCTTCTGTTTCTTCTGTCTTGTTATGTTCAGGTCTTGCAGGTGTAGAATTACTTGGTTCTGATGTTGCCATATATGTCTTTATGTTGTTGCCTGTATTTTTGCACTGGCTTCTACTCATCTCTTCCTCTGCTCAGTGCAGGTCGTGTCTGTGTCTGAGAGTGCCTCCCTTGTTCTAATTTTTAGTCTTGGTTCAGTAGGAGTTCTTGGTTAAATTGGTGCTATTGAGCTGTTTCTTTAGGGGCAGTTGATCTCAGTCGTTGAAGTATATACTTATTATTCTGGTGATATGGTTTGGTGGCTGGGCAGCACCTTCTTCTGTGTTCCCATGTCACATTTTGTTCATTTGTCAACTCCTCAGCTGATCTTGTTTCTTTAGACTTCAAACTGTAGGCATATAAATCCTCTCCCAGATGGATTTCAGCTGAGCGGGTTAGTCTCACCAACACCTCCATGTTGTTGGGTTTGGGCCCTGAGTTGTCCTCAGACGGAGTGTTCAGATTCGTTCTGGTTCCGTCCCATGGAGATAGTTTCTTCCCCTGGTATTGATATTAGAGGTGTCCATGCCTCTGCTTGTCACCTTTGTGGTGCCGGTCCACCTCTGTGGGCCACCGCTGGGCCTGAATGTCCCTGCTGGCCACTGCTGGGCCTGAATGTCTCTGCTGGCTGCCACCTCGGGCCTACCTGCCTCTGCTTGTCGCCGTTGCCAGGGCCCATCTACCTCTGTGGGCCAGATATTGGTGAAATTACTAAGGCCGCTCCACATAGTTAAGAGGAAGATTTATTTAGTGGGTGACTTACAAATGAAGGGATAGGTAGACCATGGGGTTCTGGGGAAGGTGAATCGCAGTCCAGCAGTGTTCTCTGGAGCTCTGCTCAGTCAGCCTCCACTGTCTAGGGTCCAGGAACAAAGAGTGCTCGCCCATCCAGGTCTCGGGTCTCCAGAGGCCTCCCTTGGCCCTGCCTCATAGGCGTGACAGTTGCCAGAGTCTCAATGGCGGTTGGAACTTCAGGATCCAAGCTGGAATGGCTACCAACTACACTTTTCCTTTTAGTAGTGTCCATTCACTGCTTTTTTGTTTGGACAGAAACTTCTGTTTGCTATATGTGAAACAATTCTTACTAGAAACCTGTAATTTTAGCTTCTGTAAAATTTGGTTAGTTCCAGAAAAAAAATCTTTTATTGAACATGCATGGAAATGGAACCCTGGAATGATTGCATAGACATGATTGTGGTGATGCTTCCTGTTCTATATAAGCTATGGAATGTTCATGATCAGGAATAGACATCCTTGAGCTGAAGCTAGAGTTTTTGTGTCCTGGCTAGTTTTATGTTCATTTCACACAGCATCAAGTCATCTGAATGGAGGGAAATTCAACTGAGAAATACCTCCATAAGATTCACCTGCAATGTATTTTTTTAGTTAGTTCTGGGAACATCCAACCCATGGTGGTTAGTGCTCTCCCTTGGTTGTTGTTAATGGGTTCCATAAGAAAGCAGGTTGAGCAAAGTCATGGAAATGAGCCACTTAGCAGCACCAATCTCATAACAAAAGAGTATCATTTTGAATTCCTTTCTAAGAAATTGTTATCATCTGACACCAAGTTGTGGTGGTTTGAAAGAAAATGGTCCCACATATCACAGATTCTAAGGACTCCTCCACAAAACACTCAAAATGTATCACTACTTTCCACAAGAAAGCATTGCACAAGATCCATGACTTTTTAAAATAACAGTGAAAATGTTGAAAAAAATAAGAAACTAATACTCTTAACAATAGATTAAACTCTACTGGGCAGGGTCCTGAAAAAGGAGGTGAAATTAATTACAGTAAATATTTAAGACTTAAAGGAAGCACCTAAAATTAACAACATGAACTGGGATGACACTCTCCAGCTATACACTCTTCACTGATTGACAAATTTAATATTGTGAATATGATTCAATTAGCACAGAAAATCCATAGTAAAATTTTGTCAAAATTCTAATTTCATTTCCTATTTTAAAAAAGATGTTTCAAATTTATTTTACTTTTATTTTTGAGTGTTTTACTTGCATGATTATCTGTGTACCTCATGCATTTTGGGTGCCTGTTGAATCCAGGAGAGATTATTGGATTCCCTGGAATTGCAATTACAGATGGTTGAGAGTGACATATGGGTGACAAGATGGAATCTGTGTTGTTTGTCGGAACAAGAAGTACTCTTAACAAGTGATCTACATTGTGCCTCTCCCACATTATGATGTTCTTATAAGTGAGAAGATTTTCCACAAAATCAATGGAATATTTATTTCTCACAGGCCTAATATCTTGTTTCTTCACCCATGACAATTAAGATTTGTTTCTTAGATAGGGTTTCTATTGTTATGAAGATACAAAATGACTTCAACAACTCCTATAAAGGAATATATTTAATGGGTGGTTAGTTTACACTTCAGAGGGTTATCCCATTATTCTTATGGTGGCATGAATGGTAGCAAGCAGACAGATAAAATACTGAATCTGTGAGTCCTCACATCTTTATACAATGGCAACAGAATATGGTCTGAATCACTGGGAGTAGCTTGATCATTTGTCAAATCACAAAGCCCACCCCAACAATGTCACACTTTCTCCAACAAAGCCAATCCTACTCCAACAAAGTCATACCTCTTAACATTACCACTCCATTTGTTGGGCATTTTGTTTCAAACCGCCACAATTTGGTGTCAGATAATAATAATTAGTTAGAAAGGAATTCAAAATGATACTCTTCTGTCATGGCATATTTTCTATAATGTCCTTTCAATATTTCTCCAAAATGAAATCCTGTGAAATATCAAAACAGTAGGTAAGATCAAATTTTATTCAACTTGTGGGGGCTAGTGTTTCCTAAAATTGATAATAAATATATTTTGAAAAGCCATATGAAAACCCACTAATTTAGATGCTTTCTAAAGTAAATAAAATAATTCAAATTGTATTATGACATATAGGGATGATCATGTTCCAACTAGAATTTATATGCTGTCAATTAAAATCTATTGTATCAGGTGTTGGTTTTCATCTTTTGAATAGTTGGCAAAAGGGATCCCATAGACACCCCAAAATATTACAGGCTGTTGTCAATGTTATTGGTTACTTTCCACAACCTGATGATAAGGCCCTATTCCTGAAGACAGAACTTAACTTATATAATTCACCATGGAGAATCTGCACTGGTGTCTAACAAGAAGCTTCATCTCTAATGATTATCATTAACAGTACTGGAAGGTACTCTGCACACTACAGGAGGAGAAAAGCAATCATAAATATCATATATCTACAAATCCTGTGACCTATACAAGTGAACTACCTTCCAGATTTATTGGTACTTTAGTAGAAAAAATATTATGGGTATAGTCACACCATTATTACTGGATTTAATTCCAATTCCATCAGATGGAACCCACATCTGACAATGATAATGAGGCCAAACCTGATCCTAGATTGGTCATGGACCTATAGGAAAATCTATAACAATTATTGAAACATGCACTGACTCTGAAACCATTCCAAAGAAACACTCTTGGTCCCTAGAATCAGTCAGTGAAAGGAATATGCCCTAGCTTTAGAATTAGTGTGAAAATGCCAAGAAGAGCCAACAAAAGAAACACAGTTTGGTTCTGATATCAAGGCTAATTCTGTCCCTAAACCACAAAACTAACCAATCCCGGAACAGAAAAAAACTAACCAATATTTAGTTGACTCCATGCCGAAGATATTCTGTATAAAGGACCCTGCATGTTCAATTGTGGGCTACTCTCTAAACCTTGTTAGAGGCAGCCACTCTGCTGGACTACTCCTTCCCATATAAATTTCTTTCTCAAATTAGTTTTAGGTGTGAAGATCTCAACTCACCCTTTCAGGCTGAGCTGTCCAAGAAGCTCCAGGCCTGACTCTCCTGAGCAGATAGGGTACCTTCCCCTCCAGAGATGAACTGTCCTAGCAGCTACAGGCCTGACTCTCCTGAGCAGTCAGAATACCTTCCCTTCCAGGGCTGAGCTGTCTCATTGCAGATCCAGCCATCAGAGCTGTCCTAGAAGCTCGAGGTATCTGGGAGACCTTCCCCTCCAGGGATGATCTGTACTAAGCAAGTCAAGGTATTTGGGATACCTCCAGGGCTGAGCTATCCTGTCAGCTTGAGTTATCCCAGATACCTCACCCTCTAGGGCTGACCTTTCTCATTGCAGCTCCTGCTGTCAGGGCTGTCCTAGATGTCATCTGACTCTCCAAATAGTTACAATACCTTTCACCCCATACTTGCGAAATTTATAATTTGGTGCCAAAACCTGCGACCAAAACCACAGAGTTGGGAAAGTTACTTACATTTTGATGCCCCAAAACAGGATCAAACCCACAGATTTTCAAAACTTTTTTTTTTTACAATGAATCTGTTCTACCTAAGGCTTGTGAAAAACACAGAGCCTGAGGATATCTGTTGATAGGATATATCCTACAGACATGACAGAGTAATACACCTTTGAACACTCACCAGTATATTTATACAAATGAACCACCATAATGGCACAGTTTTTACCCAAATAATGATAGGGGAAATTTTACATTGTCTTATCCATAGAAGAAAAAACAAACACAACAAAACAGGTCAATGAAGGTATTATCAACTGCCTCAGGAGGGGAAATCCCATATTGGTAGTTCAGTTCCTAGTGCTCATCTAAGGATATATTCACATACAAACAGAATTAAATGAACTCTGTACGTTATGTAAATGTGTGATCATATCAACATAGCAGTGAAAATTAAAGAAGGAATCATGAATATGGGAAAGAGAGGAAGGCAATGGAGGAGAAAAATCAGGCTGAGGTGTATGAAGGCACTATATTTATCAAAAACAATCCCTACTTTAAAAAAAAATGATTGTACATGAAAGCTTTTTTTCAGGGCAACATTTTTTTATGGTCTCTGTAAATTTTTTGCACATTTGAAACCATTGGGAATGCTTAATTATATTAGAAAATACTTTAACTAAGCCTTATTTCAATGTCTAAGAAGTAGTTATTGAGTTTCTGTTTTGGGGCCATGACCTCAGGCTCACAATTTTCTAGACCAATCTCTGATTAAGTTCACAGTTGCTTAATACAGCAACCTTTGACTGGTTTCTGCAATCTGTATTTTTTCCTATTAGCATCTTATTTTGTACAAACTTTGGGATGTTAATGATTCTTAAACTGCACTATAAATTTTACCTCTCAGCATTTGCTTTAATCTGAACAGGTGGTCAATGCTTGAATTCTCACAGCACCAAGAAAGAGTTTTTTGGCATGTCAGCCTACTTTTGGTTTGAAGGAATACCTTTCCCTGATATAACGTATAAAAGAGAAATTATTGAAGAAAGTCATGATAAGTTTGTGATCAGAGATGAAGACACTGTCATAGTGAGTTATCCTAAGTCAGGTAAGAACATCATTGAGAATGATCCTGAACTGTCTGTGGAAGTTTTGGACTTTAATTATCCTTCATTTAGGTGGTGAATGGAATGCTTTATATATCTCATGTGTTCAATGGTTTGTGGGCTTGAAGCGCTATATCTGAGAGAATTTTCACTCAGAGGAAGAACTCTAACAAAACCAATGTACTCAGTCAGTGCTAGTGCCTGAGCTGATCCTTGGAGCAATGACAGTGTTTCCTAAAGCAGATTGTGGCATTCATTTCTCTCTGTGTGGAAGAGATATTGATGATAATAATCAGATAAAAGAGCATCAAGAAAAAAGGCATGAATATAAGATTATGTGGAGGAGAGGACAACGTCAGGTAGAAGACTTACCATGGATCTTTTTCATGTAGAGGAAAGAGTCTCAAAACTAAAGGCACCAAGAAAGGCATCATGGTCATTGGGCGAGGAGTGTGATGGGAGGCAGAAGAAGTAAACATTGGTTAAGTATTAGGTTGCTAACATCAAAGGGCAATAACATGGAAAATCTAAGGACAGTGGACTGCAGGAAAAGGATTCAGATAATAGCCCAGAGAATAATGCTAGAGAAACACTCATGGACAAATGAGCATATAATCACAAATACATTGTGTATAGTAAATAGACCATGGAATATATTTAAGCTAAAGTGAAGCAGTACCAATACATACAGTGCAGGATGGATGCATCTTAATGACACTGTATTAAATAAAATGTTCCAATCTCTAGGACAGATACCATGACTGCATCCATGACAAATATCTGGATAGTTGAATTTACTGAAACAGAATGGTTCTTCCAATGAGTGTCAATAACTTTTCCTTCTTGTTCAGGAACTAATTGGCTGATTGAGATTGTCTGCTTGATTCAGACCAAGGGAAATCCTGAGTGGATCCAATCTGTGCTTATCTGGGAACGCTCACCCTGGATAGAGACTAAAAAGGGACTTCCAATGTTGATCAATACGGAAGGACCACGCCTCATGTCCTCCCACCTCCCTTTCCATCTTTTCCCCAAGTCTTTCTTCAGATCCAATGCCAAGGTCAGTGTCCAGTAGTTGAGAAATCTTTGGCCAAATGCTCTTTGAACTTATTCTACTTTGTTGGGCGCTGGAATTCTGCCTGAAATGCATTCTGTATAGATTTGGAGAGGGAAGTTGGGATTTTCATGCACTGGGTGATGCTAATCTGTCCCCTCCTCAGACTATATCAGAGTACCAGTATATCCACCACCTCTTAGTGATCCTGGGCAGATATAATGCAAAAAACTGTGTTATCACAGTAGGGCATTCAGGGACTATACATACAGGTCAAGTAGAGCTCAATCTCTAATATACAGTGGATATTACTGTTTTGTTGTCATCAAAATCATTTAGCTAAAATTGGTTCTATATATAGCCAAAACCTAATGGGTGAATCACGCAAGCAGAGGTGCTCATAGGGGATGCAGCCTGAACAGGCACGAATGCTGTAATCTGGGAGATTGTTCAACAACCATGGCTTATCTGTATCCATTGTATCTTGCTGTGTCTAGCTGTCCATTAAGACCAGTAGCCACAAAAATCACCGACATCACTGATAGAGGATTTGCTAAGGTAATCAGAAATATCCAGGTTCTGATACATCATTTCTCATTGTTAATAAGAAAGTTTTGTGGAAATCCCCACACCTTAGAAACTATAACTATTTATGTTTAAACTCAAAGACGAATGTAGAAAATAATGTCTCTTGAAACTATCACAGTGAAGTTGTGATCATAAAGCTATATTTATGAGTCTTATATAGATTTAGAAAATTTGTGTCTGCAGAAATTAAGGCCCAAAAGATGAATTATATAGTAATGTCACAATGAGCATTGGGACAAAATATTTATTTCATTTCATTAATTTTTTAAATTATTTCTTCTGTTTTGAGATTATACTATAATTACATACTGTATTCCCCCTTGTTCATCCTATCTGCAGGCTGACCATCATACCCCTCTTTTCTATCTTTCAAATTTGTGTTTTTTCATTATTTGTTGTTACAGCTGTATATGTATCTATGTAGTCCTAAGTACCTTGGTACAATCTGCTCAGTATGTACAATGTTACTTTTTTATGTTTTCAGGGCTAAGAAATTGATATTGCCTAACCAATTGCTGTTGCTTTTCCCATTTCTTTACATCTCAGCATTTTTTAGGTGCTCATGGGTTTTTGTGTTCACCATTTTGCAATGAAACATTAGCATTAAACTCTGCATAATGATTCTTTTGAGAGTTTTCTTTTATAGTTACAGTTACAGAAAACAATTAGTTTGTCATTATTAAGATAAATTTAGCATAGTATGCATCATTCAATGTATATAAAACATTCTTTCACAGTGGGCAGATAGTCTTTCACCCTGTAAAATATTGATCTTTACATGTATTGAATCAATCTTGTCTTTTTATCTTTGCTGTTGGTTTTATTACAGTATTACTGGCCTCAGACATTTTGCTGTTACATTTTTGCAAATCAAAATGATAAAAGAAGATTCTGATAAATATAGGCATTTTGCACTTGTTTTTGTTCAAATAAAAATAATAAATATTTTTGGAAACCTCATTGATGCTTGATTGACTTTTTGTATAAACTAAGCCAGATCAAATTGTTGTATGACTATATTGACATTCATTTACATGCTTTTCCATTTTAGGTGATCTATGTCATCAGAAATCCCAGAGATGTTCTTGTGTCTGGTTATTTTTTCCTACGTAACACAAAATATATTGATAATCCAGAGTCACTAGGAACTTACATTGAATGGTTCCTCAAAGGAAATGGTGAGTGTCCTGTTAAATATAGGGGTTGAGGGAGGCTCAGTTACATTTATGAAGACAAGGTGTGATATAGCTTAGGCTGGCCTTGAATTCTCTATGCAGATAGGGATTACCTGGAAGATCTGCTCTTCCTCACTGTACTTCATGAGTTCTAAGACTATAAGCACTCACTTCAACATTCTGTTTATTTAATCATGGGATTCAACCCCCAAGTCATTTATGTTATCTAACTTGGTTACAACTCAAGCCGTTAGTATATTCTATAATTTTCTCTTGGCTCCATCTTATTCCTCTACACTCTACCAACCTGTTGATCCAAGGATCATTACCATTACAAACCTAATTGTGAAGTCTTCCTGTTCTCACAAGCCACTGCATAATGGCACAGCTACAGCTTGACCTATTACTAACCATCCTGGCAATATTTGGAGTAGCAAGGCTTTCTAGTACTAATGAAGATGTTATACCTTGTGGTTAACAGAGCAACAACACTAGGACCTATTTCCTTCTCATCATGAATATTTGAACATGATGACAGTACCAGATGTGAAGTCTTCTCAATCAGAAAATGATTGGTTACTCCGATACCACAATTGGAGTTATTCCACCAGTGGGTGTATGTTGTATTGATGATTGAAGTATAGATATCAGTGTCCATAATTGAGTAATATTATTGACAAGAATCTCCCACTAAAATCCTACAGAAACCTTCTGTTACAATGAGGGCTATTCAGCAGAAATTTATATTTCAGCTATTCCCAGCTTTCTTTCCATACATTGTGTGACAAGACTATGAGATTGGCCTTAGAGTTGTATCACTTAAGAATAGGTACTTTGACTTGATTTTATATTTGTACAGCTTTTTTTGTTCATTTATTTTTTTCTATCTTAGAATTTTGTACTATAATAAATA